CCTCCAGTGCCCCCGCTCCTCCAGTGTCCCCGCTCCTCCAGTGTCCCCGCTCCTCCAGTGTCCCCGCTCCTCCAGTGCCCCCCGCTCCTCCAGTGCCCCCGCTCCTCCAGTGTCCCCGCTCCTCCAGTGTCTCCGCTCCTCCAGTGTCCCCGCTCCTCCAGTGCCCCCGCTCCTCCAGTGTCCCCGCTCCTCCAGTGTCCCCGCTTCTCCAGTGTCCCCGCTCCTCCAGTGCCCCCGCTCCTCCAGTGTCCCCGCTCCTCCAGTGCTCCTGCTCCTCCAGTGTCCCCGCTCCTCCAGTGTCCCCGCTCCTCCAGTGCCCCCGCTCCTCCAGTGCCCCCGCTCCTCCAGTGTCCCCGCTCCTCCAGTGCCCCCGCTCCTCCAGTGTCCCCGCTCCTTTAGTGCCCCCGCTCCTCCAGTGCCCCCGCTCCTCCAGTGTCCCCGCTCCTCCAGTGCCCCCGCTCCTCCAGTGCCCCCGCTCCTCCAGTGCCCCCGCTCCTCCAGTGTCCGCGCTCCTCCAGTGCCCCCGCTCCTCCAGTGCCCCCGCTCCTCCAGTGTCCCCGCTCCTCCAGTGTCCCCGCTCCTCCAGTGCCCCCGCTCCTCCAGTGTCCCCGCTCCTTTAGTGCCCCCGCTCCTCCAGTGTCCCCGCTCCTCCAGTGTCCCGGCTCCTCCAGTGCCCCCGCTCCTCCAGTGCCCCCGCTCCGTGTGGGGCACCCGCTCCTCCAGTGCCCCCGCTCCTCCAGTGTCCCCGCTCCTCCAGTGCCCCCGCTCCTCCAGTGTCCGCGCTCCTCCAGTGCCCCCGCTCCTCCAGTGCCCCCGCTCCTCCAGTGCCCCCGCTCCTCCAGTGCCCCCGCTCCTCCAGTGCCCCCGCTCCTCCAGTGCCCCCGCTCCTCCAGTGTCCGCGCTCCTCCAGTGCCCCCGCTCCTCCAGTGCCCCCGCTCCTCCAGTGCCCCCGCTCCTTCAGTGTCCCCGCTCCTCCAGTGCCCCCGCTCCTCCAGTGTCCCCACTCCTCCAGTGCCCCCGCTCCTCCAGTGTCCACGCTCCTCCAGTGCCCCCGCTCCTCCAGTGCCCCCGCTCCTCCAGTGCCCCCGCTCCTCCAGTGCCCCCGCTCCTCCAGTGCCCCCGCTCCTCCAGTGCCCCCGCTCCTCCAGTGTCCGCGCTCCTCCAGTGCCCCCGCTCCTCCAGTGCCCCCGCTCCTCCAGTGCCCCCGCTCCTTCAGTGTCCCCGCTCCTCCAGTGCCCCCGCTCCTCCAGTGTCCCCACTCCTCCAGTGCCCCCGCTCCTCCAGTGTCCACGCTCCTCCAGTGCCCCCGCTCCTCCAGTGCCCCCGCTCCTCCAGTGCCCCCGCTCCTCCAGTGTCCCCGCTCCTCCAGTGTCCCCGCTCCTCCAGTGCCCCCGCTCCTCCAGTGCCCCCGCTCCTTCAGTGTCCGCGCTCCTCCAGTGTCCCCGCTCCTCCAGTGCCCCCGCTCCTCCAGTGTCCCCGCTCCTCCAGTGCCCCCGCTCCTCCAGTGTCCCCGCTCCTCCAGTGTCCCCGCTCCTCCAGTGTCCGCGCTCCTCCAGTGTCCCCGCTCCTCCAGTGTCCGCGCTCCTCCAGTGTCCCCGCTCCTCCAGTGCCCCCGCTCCTCCAGTGTCCCCGCTCCTCCAGTGCCCCCGCTCCTCCAGTGTCCGCGCTCCTCCAGTGCCCCCGCTCCTCCAGTGTCCGCGCTCCTCCAGTGCCCCCGCTCCTCCAGTGCCCCCGCTCCTCCAGTGCCCCCGCTCCTCCAGTGCCCCCGCTCCTCCAGTGCCCCCGCTCCTCCAGTGTCCGCGCTCCTCCAGTGCCCCCGCTCCTCCAGTGCCCCCGCTCCTCCAGTGCCCCCGCTCCTTCAGTGTCCCCGCTCCTCCAGTGCCCCCGCTCCTCCAGTGTCCCCACTCCTCCAGTGCCCCCGCTCCTCCAGTGTCCACGCTCCTCCAGTGCCCCCGCTCCTCCAGTGCCCCCGCTCCTCCAGTGCCCCCGCTCCTCCAGTGCCCCCGCTCCTCCAGTGTCCCCGCTCCTCCAGTGTCCCCGCTCCTCCAGTGCCCCCGCTCCTCCAGTGCCCCCGCTCCTTCAGTGTCCGCGCTCCTCCAGTGTCCCCGCTCCTCCAGTGCCCCCGCTCCTCCAGTGTCCCCGCTCCTCCAGTGCCCCCGCTCCTCCAGTGCCCCCGCTCCTCCAGTGTCCCCACTCCTCCAGTGCCCCCGCTCCTCCAGTGTCCACGCTCCTCCAGTGCCCCCGCTCCTCCAGTGCCCCCGCTCCTCCAGTGTCTCCGCTCCTCCAGTGTCCGCGCTCCTCCAGTGCCCCCGCTCCTCCAGTGTCCCCGCTCCTCCAGTGCCCCCGCTCCTCCAGTGTCTCCGCTCCTCCAGTGTCCGCGCTCCTCCAGTGTCCCCGCTCCTCCAGTGCCCCCGCTCCTCCAGTGTCCCCGCTCCTCCAGTGCCCCCGCTCCTCCAGTGTCCGCGCTCTCTGGCGCTGTTCGCGTGTCGGTCAAAAATGACAGAATTATTAGTATTTGGTGGTACTAAATTATATTTACGCTGTATTAATAATCCATTTATTCACTTATTGAGAATAGACCTGAATATTTTATTTCCAACTTAAACTGTGGTAAATATTGAACGCTTTAGAGCGACAGACTGCAGATTATTGCTGAAGTGAAAACAGTTTTAAAAAGTGAACTTAAAAAAAAGTTACAGAATTTTATGTTTATTGTTATGAACATTTTTTCATTTTCTGTGTTCAATTTTAAATTTTGAGATATTAGATATCTGTGTGTGTGTGTTTGTGAGTGAGTGTGTTTGTGAGTGTGTTCATGTCTCCCACCACAGGGTGGCAGTCTGATCATCCTCCACTGATACCTGATGTCCACCAGTGAACTAAAGCTGGTTCTGGATGTAGATCTGCAGTCTTGACCGCCGGCGCGGGCGGGTCATGTTGTGGGAGTGTGTGTGTTGTGGGAGTGTGTGTGTTGGACAGGGGCCAGACGGGACGTGACCTCGAGAGGAAGTCCTGAAGCCAATCGGACACATCAATCCTTTAGTGATCAAACCCTGACCAGCAGCCGATGAATCAAACCCTTCACACGCTGTAGATCAGGAGTGTGTGTTCGTTCCTGTAGATCAGGAGTGTGTGTGTTCGTGAGCTGAGTCTCATACACTCGTGAGCTGAAGGCCTGCTGAAACACGGATGCTGTACGACTGTACACTCAGAAAAAAAGGCACAGTTCACCTTAGTACCTAAAGAGTGCATATTAGTACCTCAAATGTACATATCGATACAAAAAGTGTACATATTAGTACCTAAATAGTGCACATTAGTACCTAAAGAGTGCATATTAGTACCTTGAGAGTGCACATTAGTACCTAAATAGTGCATATTAGTACCTAAATAGTGCATATTAGTACCTAAATAGTGCATATTAGTACCTCAAATGTACATATTGGTACCAAAAGTGTACATATTAGTACCTAAAGTGTGCATATTGGTACCAAAAGTTTACATATTAGTACCTAAAGAGTGCATATTAGTACCTTGAGAGTGCACATTAGTACCTAAATAGTGCATATTACAGGTTTTTTCAGTCGCTAACAAGCGTTTGTCCAACCAGTAGTCACATTTTCAAAACTCTAAACACAATTAGCACAGCATCGGTCTATTGTGGCCATACCATTCACACATTTCATGTCGTTTTCACACAATATGCAGTCAGTGAACACATTTCCACAATGCTTACATTTTCTTAACAGACAAGTTATACCTCCCAACAAAATTATGCATTGTTTTTGTAGTATTTGCGAATGTTAACACACACCATCCCACAATAGCAAAAACAATATTCCAAACCTTAGATACAGTATAAAAACCTCTGCTTCTGCAATGATATCAGTTCCAAAAACAATATATCTCAGCAAAATAATAAACAAACAATTGAATAATTGACACACAGCTGATTTATGTTGGGTAAATTGGGCCAACCCAAAATTACCCAATTTTTTTCTATTACATTGACACTTATACAGTAAAATTAGGACTTTGAGGAGTGATGTTTTTGGAAACAGAAACAGAAAAAGACAAACACTGTAATGTCTGGACGAGGAAGAGTAAGAGCAAGGGGCCCAGGGAGAATAGCAGGAGCAGTGAGAGATGCAGTGAGAGGTGCAGTGAGAGGTGCAGTGAGAGGTGCAGTGAGAGATGCAGTGAGAGGTGCAGTGAGAGGTGCAGTGAGAGATGCAGTGAGAGATGCAGTGAGAGATGCAGTGAGAGATGCAGTGAGAGGTGCAGTGAGAGGTGCAGTGAGAGATGCAGTGAGAGGTGCAGTGAGAGATGCAGTGAGAGGTGCAGTGAGAGGTGCAGTGAGCGATGCAGTGAGAGGTGCAGCGAGAGATGCAGTGAGAGGTGCAGCGAGAGGTGCAGTGTGAGGTGCAGTGAGAGATGCAGTGAGAGGTGCAGTGAGAGATGCAGTGAGAGATGCAGTGAGAGATGCAGTGAGAGATTCAGTGAGAGGTGCAGTGAGAGATGCAGTGAGAGGTGCAGTGAGAGATGCAGTGAGAGATGCAGTAAGAGGTGCAGTGAGAGATGCAGTGAGAGGTGCAGTGAGAGATGCAGTGAGAGATGCAGTGAGAGATGCAGTGAGAGGTGCAGTGAGAGATGCAGTGAGAGGTGCAGTGAGAGGTGCAGTGAGAGATGCAGTGAGAGGTGCAGTGAGAGGTGCAGTGAGAGGTGCAGTGAGAGGTGCAGTGAGAGATGCAGTGAGAGGTGCAGCGAGAGATGCAGTGAGAGGTGCAGCGAGAGGTGCAGTGAGAGATGCAGTGAGAGGTGCAGTGAGAGGTGCAGTGAGAGGTGCAGTGAGAGGTGCAGTGAGAGATGCAGTGAGAGGTGCAGTGAGAGGTGCAGTGAGCGATGCAGTGAGAGGTGCAGTGAGAGATGCAGTGAGAGGTGCAGCAATAGATACAGTGAGAGGTGCAGTGAGAGGTGCAGTGAGAGATGCAGTGAGAGATGCAGTGAGAGATGCAGTGAGAGGTGCAGTGAGAGATGCAGTGAGAGGTGCAGTGAGAGGTGCAGTGAGAGATGCAGTGAGAGGTGCAGTGAGAGGTGCAGTGAGCGATGCAGTGAGAGGTGCAGTGAGAGGTGCAGTGAGAGGTGCAGCGAGAGATGCAGTGAGAGGTGCAGTGAGAGGTGCAGTGAGAGATGCAGTGAGAGGTGCAGTGAGAGGTGCAGTGAGAGATGCAGTGAGAGGTGCAGTGAGAGGTGCAGTGAGAGATGCAGTGAGAGGAGCAGTGAGAGGTGCAGTGAGAGATGCAGTGAGAGATGCAGTGAGAGGTGCAGTGAGAGATGCAGTGAGAGGTGCAGTGAGAGGTGCAGTGAGAGGTGCAGTGAGAGGTGCAGTGAGAGATGCAGTGAGAGGTGCAGTGAGAGGTGCAGTGAGAGATGCAGTGAGAGGAGCAGTGAGAGGTGCAGTGAGAGGTGCAGTGAGAGGTGCAGTGAGAGGTGCAGTGAGAGATGCAGTGAGAGATGCAGTGAGAGATGCAGTGAGAGGTGCAGTGAGAGGTGCAGTGAGAGGTGCAGTGAGAGGTGCAGTGAGAGGTGCAGTGAGAGATGCAGTGAGAGATGCAGTGAGAGGTGCAGAAGTGCAATATTTGATGAAAACATGTGGCCTAACCCTGAAGATCGCAGAGTTTAGATACAGTAATTTTGTGCTTTTTTTGTAAGCAATACTGTAAAACTTTTTCTGTTCTTTCATACCGTGTTTCTACTGTACCTCCTGTTGTAAACAGTAAAGGGAAAAAAATGATTTGCTTTTTACTAGAATGCTTTTGAATGTGAACATTACTGTACATGTGGACATACAGTTCCCAACCAAGAAAGTTAGTGTAAAAAGGTTGGATTGCATGTTTTGCATGCAAATACCTGTAAAACTAAAACATCAAAGTCTATGTAGTTTTTTTAATGTCAACAATAGCCAGTATTTTGAAACCTGGTGTACTTTGATTGACTGCATGTACCATGTGAAGTGAAAACAAGTGTTATTCTTTGACAGAATAATTTCATTTTGAGACAGATTTTCAGTGTTTTGGTAAAGTTAGTGTGTGCAGAGAAAGATGTGTTCTATTTTGAAATGAAGAGTTAGTATATATTTAACGAAATGTGTTTTTGAGAAGAAAATTAACCATTTGGCCAATTGTGTTTTGTAGGTGTGAGTCTGTGTTAAGAGTTTAGAAAAAGTATCTGAAGTATGGGTAAGCGCTTGTTAGCGATTGAAAAAAACTGTAGTACCTAAATAGTGCATATTAGTGCATATTAGTACCTAAAGAGTGCATATTAGTACATTGAGAGTGCACATTAGTACCTAAAGAGTGCATATTAGTACCTAAAGAGTGCACATTAGTACCTAAAGAGTGCATATTAGTACCTAAAGAGTGCACATTAGTACCTAAAGAGTGCATATTAGTACCTGAAGAGTGCATATTAGTACCTAAAGAGTGCATATTAGTACCTAAAGTGTGCATATTAGTACCTAAAGAGTGCATATTAGTACCTCGAGAGCGCACATTGGTACCTAAATAGTGCACATTAGTACCTAAAGAGTGCATATTAGTACCTGAAGAGTGCATATTAGTACCTAAAGAGTGCATATTAGTACCTCAAATGTACATATCGATACAAAAAGTGTACATATTAGTACCTAAATACTGCATATTAGTACCTAAATAGTGCACATTAGTACCTAAAGAGTGCATATTAGTACCTTGAGAGTGCACATTAGTACCTAAATAGTGCATATTAGTACCTAAATAGTGCATATTAGTGCATATTAGTACCTAAATAGTGCACATTAGTACCTAAAGAGTGCATATTAGTACCTGAAGAGTGCATATTAGTACCTAAAGAGTGCATATTAGTACCTAAAGAGTGCATATTAGTACCTAAAGAGTGCATATTAGTACCTCAAATGTACATATCGATACAAAAAGTGTACATATTAGTACCTAAATAGTGCATATTAGTACCTAAATAGTGCACATTAGTACCTAAAGAGTGCATATTAGTACCTTGAGAGAGCACATTAGTACCTAAATAGTGCATATTAGTACCTTGAGAGTGCACATTAGTACCTAAATAGTGCATATTAGTACCTCAAATGTACATATTAGTACCTAAAGAGTGCATATATTAGTACCTTGAGAGTGCACATTAGTACCTAAATAGTGCATATTAGTACCTAAATAGTGCATATTAGTGCATATTAGTACCTAAAGAGTGCATATTAGTACCTAAAGAGTGCATATTAGTACCTTGAGAGCGCACATTAGAACCTAAAGAGTGCATATTAGTACCTAAAGAGTGCACATTAGTACCTAAAGAGTGCACATTAGTACCTAAAGAGAGTGCATATTAGTACCTAAAGAGAGTGCATATTAGTACCTAAAGAGAGTGCATATTAGTACCTAAAGAGTGCACATTAGTACCTAAAGAGTGCACATTAGTACCTAAAGAGAG